TTATTATATTATATTATGTTATATTATCTTATATTAAATTATATCATACAATTAATTTCTAGATGAGTATGAAATACAAGCCTTTCTTACAACATATACACCCATCAAGATCATTTCTTTTAAACTGACTGCAGTTTATGGTGCCTAGTTTTTCACTCTGCATCAACCTTGCTTCAGTGCTCAACAAGACTTTTGGATTCGCTCGGTTCATTGAGGTGTTCCAACTCAAATCGACGCAGCCCCCGTTGCTTCGGGTGGTCACCGTTCGCCCAGCACAACCGTCCTGGACGCAGAAACCCAACGTTGGTTCCGGTGGTGGTATCACCTGGGGATTATCATCCATGGGTTTGAACACTGCTCCAGTCTGTTCAGGGCCATTGGTGGCCAAAAAAAAACTTAATCCTAGAATCATGCAGGCGTCGATTTTCACAATCCAAGACTCATCCCAGGATATCACCAGAGTGGGGTTGGATGTCTCAATGGTTTAAGAATGGATTGACTTAAAGGGAACGTATTTCCAACCGAAAGCCTTCAGGAAATCAGCCAGAAAAATCCGGGAGACCGTGGAATCTGTTGAAACTCTGGTGTCCAGTTGGGTTTTTTTCGTTCTTCCAGAAGCCAGAGGCTCCAAGAACATGCCAATTTTTCACCAAATGACAACTGACAACTGGGGAATCCGGACCACTGTTGCTTTCTAGGAGACTACGAGATGGGAATTTAGAAAGAGAGGACCTCCGGTTAAAAATGTCCACCCTTTTGGCCTTTTGGCAGGTAGACCGGCCGTACGGTTCCCTGAATTCCCAGAAATTAACATCCATTAAGAATCTACGAATCTACAAACGATTGTCTCAAGAAAGTTTCATACAATGTGAGGCCCCCCAGTTATAAGTTGGTTTATAAGCCCCAGTAACTATAGTTATAAGTACCATAAACCATAGTTATTGGAGTTATACATAAACCAACTTAGCTATCTTGGGGGCCTCACATTGTAGTTGACATTCAAAAAACCAGATTTCTAGTGATCTACGAAGACAGTAAAGAGCTGCCCCAGTGCACTACACTTTGCATCAGCTGAATTTCATTGCTTATTTGATCTTAGTCCCCCCTCCTTTGCACTTTATGAGGGAAACTAGCCTTGTTGAAACCAGCCAAATCCACAAGCATTGTACGAGAAAAGGAGCACTGGGTGCATCATGGAAGTGAGAATTGATGGGTAGTAGCAGCATCCCAGTTCCAAAAAGTGCCTACAGTAGTGATCATATGATAACGCAGTTATGTGATACACGTGGACAAAATGGATGTACTCCGAAAATATCCGAACGTACATTTAATGTATAATTAATTAGATTACATAAACGACTTAATTAGAGAATATCATGTGGATTGCTCACATTAGATTATAGATTATTAACCTCTTAGATAGTTACAGAATAGACTACTCACCACTTAACTAGAGAATCTACTATAGATTACTGACATTAGTTAGACCAGTAACCACTTAATTTTCAGAACATATCATAATATAAACTAGTTGCATAATATACGTTATACCATCATTAGTCAGATTAGTAAGCACGTAATTACAGAGTATAAATATATATATATGAATATGAATATATATAGATAGATAGATAGATACGTTATGATAGATTCAATCCACTTAACTACACCACTCAACTGCACAACAGATTCCTATAACATTTACGAAGAACTGAATTGTCGGTTGGGTGCCGAGTCGCAGTCAACGCCAGTGATGGCCACCCTCCTGCCGTGTGTTTAACGTTGGTGCCCCAGGTTGTTAACGTTGGTTTATGCCCAAGATAACTAGGGTTCGTGGCTTGTGGTAGTAATATGTAGTAATCTCTATACTTAAATGGGGTTGTAAGATGTTGTAAGTGTTTATACACCAACTTTTATGCGGTAAAATGAGGGTTGTAAACCATAAGATGGAATTTCGTGCATCCGATTTTCAAACCCAGAGATTCCACTGTGGTGCCTTTACCATCCTTTATGATCCTTTGTCTGGTTGGTGGTTGAGCCTACCCCTCTGAAAAATATGAGTTCGTCAGTTGGGATGATGAAATTCCCAACTGAATGGAAAGTCTATGAAAGTCTTAAAATTCATGTTCCAAACCACCAACCAGTTGTGATCCTTTTTGTATGTACCCATTTTTGCTGGCACTTTGATGGTCTCAGCACCATGATGAGCCCCAGAAATACCCCATGGCAATCTTGCAACGGACCATGACCATTTTCTGGGTAAGTCGTCTACAGATTCATGACCAAAAGGATAGATCGGATTTATGATCCCAGTCACCGACAAACCGCGGATCTTTATTAGGGAGCCCTCGATTTCGCAGAAGAACAGACCCAACACATTCCCCCCCAAAATGCAATCCATATCCCAGGAAATTAAAATTGGAAATTCAGAATGAGAATGCCAGAGGTGCTCGTTTCATCCACAATAACCAAACCATCAAACCTTGCCTCAAGTAAAATATTCTGGGAACCCCCAAGCTGCACGGAAGAATAATGTGCCAGTCTAGCCAAAATACATAGTTTCTGTCAATATTCCTGGTATCTTTTCGCTGAAGATATACCCTTTCCTATCCTCCAGTTCTATGTGACCCTAATTGTCCCACACATACACATATATATATATACATATGTTCACATAGCAATAATACCATTGACTGATATTTGGTTTGCTTGAGAATGCAATCATCCTGCCAATATTCTAAGAACAAATCAATCTGTATTGGCTCAAAATGCCACACACTTCATGTTCATCATTTTCTGGAGTTATTTCTTTGAAACAAACAACTAAGAAATATCACCAAAACAAAACACGTCCCACGTCCCACGTCCCACGTCGTCGCCTAAGCACTCACCTGATCTGTGCTTTCAACGGAGCCTGAGATCGAGATCTCGACGAAAAAACATGGATTTCTTGGGGAAAACCACCGGGGAAACCGCCCAATCCTGAGGAAAAAAAGGGGAGGGAAGTAGCATTCCCATATGCAACCCATGGTGCTGGTATATTTACCTACAAAACTGGGTGATTTTGGACAAGGGCAAATGTTGGGATTCATATTCCAGCACCATGGAGCATATGGGATTTCAAACAGAATATGCTCTGACCTTTTTGTGGATTCTACAAGTCTCTCATGCAACTAATCCTAAAGGTTCCACAGTTTTCGCCGATGACCAGCTCAGACTAGATAAAACCAATATGGTGTAGGAAGAGCCCCCCCTAAATAGGTAAGTTGGTTGAAATAACGAGGCTAAGTAGGACTTATGCTGGACATATTCATGGTTTGATGGGTTTATGCACCAACTTATACTGTAAGTGGGGGCCCGTCCTCGACATGAATTGCCTCTCAAAAGTCCAGCAGTTTTCATGTAGTTGTCTGAAACTTGGGCATCCCTTAATCCATGCTTTATATGGGTTTATCATGGTTTATCACAAGTTTCCCAGTATACAAAACATGTTAATTGAAACTACCAGAACTGGGGGTTAGATACCCCCAGTTTCAGACACATCTAGATCTGAAGAGCCTAATCCCATACTGACTCGGGGCTGTCTTGGCAAGTGATTGGCACTGCCGTTCCACAGGGATTCTTCACTGAAGTGGCCCAAAAATGCACACAAAACCAGAACTGTAGTCTAACATAGTCAAACTATACTCGGGTGGTGCCTTTGATTTCTGTTTTAGACTAAGTCCTGAAAAAACATGTATGTCAGGCGGGGATCATAGCTTATCACATCTTATGGAACTCAGCAAAACATATTGACATATTGGAAACCACCACAACCAAATCATCTCCACGAAGGATTATTCAAGCTTGCTTGGTTCGTAACGGAAACAAAAACACGAAGATGTTTATACATATTTATATAATCCCCAGCGAATCAGTTGGTTGACATTCGTCTGAACAGCCAGGCCCGATAAACTTCCAACTGGATAGTTGAAAATGGATAGTTGAAAATGAACCTGATGTATGATGATTTATGATGATGTACCCTCTGGTTATTTAACATAGCCATGGAAATTCCATTATAAATGGAGGTTTTAATGGGAAAATCATCTATAAATGGGCCATGGCTTCCATGGCTATGTTAAATAACCATGATGATTTATGTGTTTGTGATTTCCAGACTGTTGATCAACATGTTTTTTTCCGGACCCTTGATCGGCAAAAAATCCCATCATCCTGTCGAGACACGGAGACGCATGTCTGTTGCATGCTCAGCCCCTGCGCAGCGAAAAAATCTGACGAAAAAGGCCAAATGGTCATCGCTGTTGATTGGTGGTTTTATGGCTTGTCGGATCAGGTCACCAAATAGGGCCTATTTTTTCAAGGATCCGCGCAAGGCTAGTCCCTATCAGCAAAATCCCAGGGTTCATCATCAGTTTCCCTTGTTTCACCATCAAAATGACCATCAACTCGGGGTTAAGTTTGGATGTACATCCTAGCCAGTAACTAGTTCATAACCCCTGGGCAAAGACATCCGGTACATCATTGGCTTGTCAAATGGTGACCCACTTAGGAACTACGGGATGCACATCTGGGTCTGTCTGGTTTCGTATGGTTAAATCTCCATGCTTTAAGTGGTATATTTAACCGTGGTTTTGATGCTTGAACCAGCGCAGTGAAATTGGTTAAATTTCGATGTTCATTGCTGAAAACCAGCATGTTCATTGCTAAAACCACCAAAATACGTGGTTTTCATGGTTGCTCCCAACACCCAGATACAACGGGGGTATCTAAAGGCTAGTTACGGCTAGTTTAAGAAAATGAAGACGTGAAATCATTTCACCCCCAAAAAGTTGCTGTAGTTTACTTCTAATGGGGGTGGAGCAACACTGCTCAATGACTTGGATTTACTAATAGGAAACTAGGAAACTCATTGGTAACCATAGATTCATTGGGGAATGGTTTCTGCATGCCCAAATATCAGACCAGAACTGGAGCCCACCCTCCCCAGCCCAGCGACCTCACTTCACCAGCGCGGCGGCAAGGATACCCTGCAAACACTGCACACTGCTGGTGGGGATCTCAGCAATCTTGACATAGGTGGACAATTGATAGAAACGTTCATCATTCATCATCATTCATCATCATTCATCATGAGTCACCATCATTCATCACGATTCATCATCATTCATCATCATTCAGCACCATCATCATCATCATCATCATCATCGTCATCGTCATCATCATCGTCATTGTCATCACCATCAATAATCATCAATCACCAATCACCAATCATCAATCATCAATCAATCAATCAATCAAATAAATAAATCAATCAATCGATCAATCAATCAATCAATCAAATCAATCAAAACAATCAAATCAATCAAATCAATCAAATCAATCAAATCAATCAAATCAATCAAATCAATCAAATCAATCAAATAAATCAAATCAATCAAATCAATCAAATCAATCAAATCAATCAAATCAATCAAATCAATCAAATCAATCAAATCAATCAATCAATCAACCAACCAACCAACCAACCAACCAAACCAACCAACCAACCAACCAACCAACCAACCAACCTACCAACCAATCAATCAATCATCATCATCATTCATCAAAACATCAAAACATCAAATGTTCATCATTCATCATGATCATGATCGTGATCAGGATTATGATCATCAGGATCATCATGACTATCTCCGGGAAGGTTGGCCCACCCGGCCATTTAAATCTACGGATGGCACTGGTGTTTCATATGTATACACCATGATTCCAGGACATGGTTGAAGGAGAAAACACATGGTTTCCGTTATATGTCCCCACTTCACAAGATGAATGGTGGATAGCTAGGAAATGGTCCATCTAGTACTTAAGATGATCTGACGACCATGACCCATCCACTGACAACGGGTTGAGTAGAGCCCGCATCAGCAATCATCGGTACTTTAATCCAATCAAGCTTAATTGTATCACACATGCTTAAGTACATTTGAAAATGGTGTGCGTTTCATTCAAATTCTATGGTAAATATCAAGTATGTACCAAATGTACCAATAAATTTCAATAACATATTTTCATAGGAACACAATATCCATGTCCAATTCTATGGTCCGCACCGTTGAACAAAAAACATTGACCCATCAATCCTCACGGTTGCAGAACCGGAGTGTTTGCTCAAAAACCCTCGGCAAAAATGACACAACTGTCACCATTTTTTGGGATGTTTCCCTCCTTCAAAGCCCTTCCGCGCCTCCAATTCCGCTTGTTCTTCCGCAGCGCCAAACACCTGGGTGTTAGGGCCAGGGCCGAGCAAATCCAGGCACCGGATTTAGCATGGATTTAGCCACTCAAAGCTGATGATGCAACCAGATTCTAGCAACGAAATAGTGGACTTGGGTCTGAACATAGCTATTTCCACACAAAATATGGCAGTTATAATGGGGAACATGAGGTTTTATAGATTATCAAATTTGGAGGTGTCCCAATTTTCAGACAAACTCAAATAGCAACCACTGGAATGGGAATGAATGGGATTTAAGATAAATCATAGGTACTCATGAGACATTTGAGAAAAGAAATGGTTCGTGAATATACTAATCCACGGCAGTGTATCTGAAATGTTATTCTTGGCCGATGATTCATCACCCTACGTAGGGCCGTAGGGTTACCCATGGGTTATCCCCCGCTGATTTCGCAGTCAGAATTTTGGGCATCCCACCTTTGAAGAAGCATGAAATATCATGAAGTATCCATAGACTATACAAGTGTTGCCTATTCCCTCAGTTCTTGCTGCAGAAATCATAAATATATATATGTATAAATCATTCCACTTCGACCCACTGTGGGTTCTGCAGATAGAGACTATCATGGCGAAAATCATCAGGTCTCGGCAAGGAAAGCAACAGCCAGTTCTCTGGTTCCATGTTGAATTTCTCCGGTGAAAATGCTGTGATTTTCGATCTTCACAAGGCCCCTAAAAATTGACATGGGATACATCGCATCGCCGTTTCGTGGTTGAAAAATCCAAACATGTTTTCATGATTTTAGCTCTGGTTGGACCCCCTGGGTTTACTAACGTAGTGGCAGACCGCCGGAAGTTTTTTCACGATCCCATCCTAGCACTAAAGCTCCCAAAATCAACAAATGTGATACCAGGGCTGGGTGGCAGCGTTTGCTAGTGACTGAGGGTTTGCGATTAGTTGGGACTGGGTCAAGACTCAAAAAAGCCCTGACTTGAAAAAAACAAATCAGTTAAGGTAGTTGTGGTATCAAACATTGCCATCGAAAGCCGAAAAATCGCTATCAATTTGTTCAGAGATGAAATTACCGATATTTCCCACAAACAATGAGGAGTTTCCTTGCCAGTTGAGATTACCCAAGGGCACTACAGCAACTATTCTTGGATTGATTACAGGGACATCTAGAGGAAATCTCCACATGTGATGGTCAAAAATGTGGTTCCCTGCAACTGTTCCCTGGCTTATCCCAAAACAGGGGTATAAACATCCAAATATCGAGATTTCACAGCTCATTTTCCCAAATTTCCTCATAGATTTCATGGATTTGGCCATGGACAAACTTGGGGCAAGTCACATGAAGTGACGGCAATTTGCGGGGCAAGACCTGCCTAGGCCTAGGGCGGACGCTGGGGACGGCCGCCTCTGGATCTCTGGGGGAAACCCGGCAAGTGGGATGCACATGTAGGATACTAAGTCTACTGGCTTCTGATCCACAACTGACCTAGATTTAGAATGATTTAGGTGGGTAATGGGTGTAGATCCCTTCCGATATCACAATTCTGAAGGGTGAGAAGCCAGTTGCTGGACTTGAGGAATTATCCCAGTAATTACCCTCCAGTACAAGTATCTCCAGATTCATGAAGAAATCATGAGATTCGTCTGCACACGGGGTTCCCAAAATCACATGTTTCAGAAAATCGTTTTCCTCACAGGTGGCGATTTGAGTGGCAAAATGGAAATCAAACGAGCAGGTGTTGGTCGTGTCCAGTCCACCCTTGACAAGCCTGTGGCATGAGTTGTAAGGAAACTATCTCCAGTATTCAAATGAGCCATGCTAAACTCAACAAAACACCACAGCGCAAACCAAGCAGGGGCGTAAACAATGAATTCATGCACCGCAGGGGTGTATTGACAAACGCGGGAAATTGACACCTCAAGTGGTGTATGAATACAGCAATGATCTCTGCGCGACAATATCTGATCACTGGAATATCTTTGGGCGACTGATTCCGAGTGGAGATTGCGTACGTGATGTATATTATAATCAATATGGTACTGGTTGGTGGTTTTAACCATCTTGAAAAATATGAGTTCGTCAATGGGAAGGATGACATCCCATATATATATATATATGTATATATATGAAATGGAAAATCATAAATTCATGTTTGAAACCACCAAGCAAATCAATATGGTATATATAATGTATATTCCACTGATTTACATCGCTGCCATGCTGTCAAACATGTTGAACTCCGTGAATCCCCATCTCTGCAGCGTTTTTGTTAGCCTCTGGTAATTTAAGAAAATGGCCATTAAAATAGTGGGTGTTCCCATTAAAAATGGTGATTTCCCATGATTTTTTGTATGTTTATAGATTCTTTAGATATCATGCGTCGATGTTGCTACTTCCTTCAATCCGCATAAACACGCATCTCCGCGCGACGCTTTTCCCCCCACTGGCCCACGCCACTTTTGCCCTACTAACCCTGGGCAGCCCAGCTGTGGCTCACCTCAGTCCACAAAACACATCTGATTAGCGGTGCATTTTTCAGGATAATAGCTCGATGATGTTTTCTCCGCATACTTTCACGTATACTTTCCAGGTTTCTCACTTTCCATCTATTTTGGGCTGGCGGGTCAACTGGCCAGGTTTATAGCTGTGAAAATCAACGATAGCTGGGGAAAAAATCAATTGCGATGGAGTACTGGCGGTTTCAATGGTTTTCATATATCAGCCAAAATCACCCAACAAAACTCAGAATCTGTCCACTTTCATCTCGAAACTGGATGTTTGGATTTCAGGTACCCGAACAGCACCCTCCAGATACAGCAACTCCACCGATGCTGTCCGCCGAACCCGGGCGACCCCACAAGATTCTGTGCTGTCCAGCGCCTGAAAAATTCATGGGAAAATCCTCAACAGATTCAGACATCTAACGGTTGGTTGGGATTGCCAGGAAGCGTGGGTTATGACAATCCCAGTATATCCCAGTTTATTCGCTAGTACAACCCCATAGCATCATCCAGCAACTGGCTTTTCTGAAACTCACCAAATGAATCGCAAGTGAAGCACAAGGGCCAGGGCCAGGGGCATCTTGCAAATTCAGCGGTTGATCATCATTTTTATAAAGGTGTGTTCCCCTTTCAACTTCAAAATGGCCTTTTTGATTTACCCTCTGGTAATTTAACATAGCGAACTGGAAAATCACCATTTTTAATGGGAAAATCCACTATACATGATCATTTTCAATAGCGACGTTAAATTACCAGAGGGTATTATCATAGATTGGGGACCTGAAATTCTAAGATCATCTTTGATGATCTTATGATATTCCGATATTCCCGATATGATCGGTGGGTTTCTTAAGTCATGGGGGATCACCAGTCGTCACCATAGGTTTCAATACTAAACCATAGTCCAATCTTATGATTTTTTGTGTACCTGAATTGAGAAACATCCCATGTGAACACCTATAAATCCCATGAAAACTCCCATCAAATCACTATTAAATCCCATTAAATCACTCTAAATCCCATGAAATCCCCATGCAATCACCGATTTTTTCAGCCGCAGAAAAAGCGCCTCTCGTTGCAGCCTTTGGAGGTCAGCAGCCAGTGAACCGCGGTAGAAGGGCCTCGAGTCCTGGACGGGAGATAGATATAGTCTATATGTCTACTATCTTATCATTGGATGAATATCAATGATGATTCATAGTCATCTGAAATATAGACATATTGACATATAGACATATAGACATATAGATTATATATATATAGATAGATAGACACATAAATAGAGATAGATATAGATAGATATAGATATGATATACATGATGATAGGTGTGTTTAGTGAGTGTACATATACCATCATATACCTGTCTCTCTTTCACTCTCTCTCATCCCTCTCTCCAGATTTCCATATCTACAAATGGAAAAACGATCGAAGCACGCACATATGTTTGACACGTGATGCGTGCATTGCACAACGTGCTGATGTTTGTCAGTGATGCAGCTTCAACACTTGACAGTGACAACCTGACCGCAGCTGACCACAGTTGTAAGTGGTTCACGACAGTTCAAACTGTGAGTCATTGAACTTAAGCTTCACAAACGGTGGAATAGTCCAGCAGGATATGAAAAATCATGAAGGCCCCCTATATCTTTCGTTCAAAATAGATCGCTTTTGAGTGACCTGTGAGGACAAGCAACTAATTAAGTTGAATGACCAATGGGGGAAACCAATGGTCATACTAGTACAATGAGGTCATTCTTGGAATCCAACCTGCATGTTCAACTTGGTTCTACCAGCCTTTCAGATTCCAGCGCGGTCTGCATCTGTGTACATATATATATTGTATATGTACATGATAACATGCATACAAATAGAGGTACAGTTTTTATGTTTGGATACCAGTGATACCAGTTTTTATGATCTAATTTGATAAGAACTTATGAACATAGAGCCTCCCAAAATCCAATAGTTTATCATAGACTGGCCATAAAATGGCGTGTACCATTCGGTGTACCCCAATTTCGAACATGCCCAAACATAACCACATATCAGATTCTTGATTATTATTGGTTAATCTAAATTATAATATATATATATTTACATACTGTGTATATATATGATATATCATATATATATATATATTATATCATATATATAAAACATATATATATACACACCATATATCCAATGAATTCCCAATACAAGTTGTTGGTATCAAATGTAGCACCCCCAATCTCCTTGTCTCCAGCAACCTCGATACGTGGCAAAGAATTCACCCGTGGTGGTGCCTGGCCGGAAGCTATGGCGGTTGTGTTTCTTGAGGATGCATTGGATTTATGATAAATATGATGTGTATATATATTTATATATACATTGTCTATATATATATATGTTATAAGTTAAAATAAGTTAAATCAACAAATAATGTATATATATATGTATGTATATATGAGTACATAGTCGTAGCTTAGCAAATCAGATCTGTGGAACTAAAGAACTATGTGTGTTTATGTATACGTCTGTATATATATATACACATAGATATACGTATATATACCCTCCGTGGCAATGGAAAATTCACCATTTATAGAGGATTTGCCATTGCCAGGTTTGATTACCAGAGGGTATATATCGAAAAAAAATATCCCATTTCATCATGACCATCACATCATTATTTTATCATATTTGAAAAGGTAAACCCATTATTGACCATTATTAACAATTCTTAGCCATTATGGAGGATTATCAACTATGATTAACCATATTACCCTCTGGTAATTTAACATAGCTATGGAAAATCACCATTTTTCATGGGAAAACTCACTATTTCTATGGCCATTTTCAATAGCTATGTTAGTGTACCAGAGGGTATCAACTATGATTAACCATATTAACCACTATCGACCATTGATGGTATGTGTTCATTCAGAATGGCCCAATTTCCGCAGCCGCCTTTGGTGGCTGTGACTCCTGGACACCGCGCCAGCTATGGAGAATTCGAATGGGATTTTGCTGGGGACTTCTCAAACGCAGAATGCCATGGATTCCCCTATGGCGTGAGAAAGTATCTCCATGGACATACCTCCTGGACACTTTCCCAAACAGATTTACAATGATATGCCATATTTATCTCACCGAAGTCGACAACATGAGGATATCATGGAAAATTAATGGAAATGAATGATAAACCATCTACCAGAAAAAACCCTCTGGTAAACTGAATAGATCTTTGGAAAATCACGATCTTTTTCATAGGCAAATCATATATAAACGGATCATCTTAGATTATGTTAGTTTCCTGGAGGGTACCAGTGATTTATAAATGTTCCATTCGTTGTAAATGCTACTTAATGGTACTCAATGAGCTATGCCAGCCAATCTGGATATTCATTACTGGTTGGTGGTTTGAACTCCTCTGAAAAATATGAAAGTCGGTTGGGATGATGACATTCCCAATATATGGAACAATAAAATTCATGTTCCAAACAACCAACCAGATTATAATTCTTTTTTACATCAATCAACAATGTAGTAAACCAATAAATCATGAACGATCCAGCCAAATAATATCAAAAAATGTTTGTCAAGAGATATCCCTCTTGAACGGATGGGGCTAATCATGAGACATGTTGTCCAGGTTAACCACTGATAGTCGGACATATGAATCAACCATTTATTGTTTTTTTATGCATGACCACTACAGGGGTGTTGGTTAAATAGCCATGATATACCATTACCCTCGATTTAACAGCGAAGTCATGGCCCATTGATAGATGAATTTATGTTTTTTTACCTATTGGAAATGGATATTTTCCATAGCAACGTTAAGGTTTGACCAAACAAGACGTGAAGATCTTGAGGAGCATACAAGGACATGATGACATGATGATGTCCTTTGGAGAAAAAAAAAAGGGACTGGTGTATCAGGTTGTACAGTTCAAACACTATGTATATGTATATATACATATGCATACATTATCATGTGAACCATGAAAAATACTCCTATCCCATCCCATTATATTGGTTGGTTAGTAAATATTAGTATTGTGGGTTGTAATCATTTCCATTGAACCATGTAGTATAATCCCCTAACCTAATGCATCAACAGTGGTATTTTTAATGGTTGTTGAATGGGGTTTGCAAACCCAATACTAGTGGGTGCAATTTTTCACAGTGGGCGACCACACCAGGGGGCAACTATATAGGTACCCTTCAGTGTGATGCAGGCTAGAAAATCCCCGAACCAAATGGATTTTTCAGTAGGAAACACATGTATAAATAAAAGTGTTCCAGCAAGGCATGTTCGATTGCTAGAGGGTACCTAACAAAACTCAGTGACTTACATAATGTTCAAAAACAATAATTGAATGTATGACAACAATATGGGAATCCTCTATGCCAACACTTGCCACCAGTGACATTGTCTTGCGACAGAGAGGGCAACACAAGAAAAAATACGTGCCCCTTTGAATGGCCAAAGGTGCCAAACTCCACACGTGCAAGTATGACCATATATGCACAGTTCGCATGATTCGGTATATTGTAGTCACATCTCTTCAGACAATATGGTAGAACATGTGTATATACCCTCCGGTAATTTAATATAGCTAAGGAACATCACTTTGTTTCCACTCAAATCACCATTATCAAATATGCAAATTTCAAACTGTTAAATTAACAGAGGGCGTGTGTCCTGTATCACAACTTATCACAAAAAACATTTGTTCATTGAGTTTCCACAAGTTTTCAATATCCAAAAGTAGTGTCCGGCAAAGTTTCCTGTGAGTTGTTTGTTTGAGAATCCTATCTTATCTATATGAAGGGCACCATTGCTATGAATGGACCCCATAATGGTCTTCCTGTCTTGCGCAAGACCCACTAGATCCACCAGTCGGGAGCGGAGCAGGGAACCAACCCCTGGCTCTGAGTTTGCTTCTCAAAAGAGGTCAATGGATTGGTTCTCTTGAAATTCCCCAAACAGTGTGTCCACACTGAGGGGTTCTTACGGTAGGTGTAAAGGCCGGTGCGTGACCAGGGTGCTCCAGCTGGTCTGCGGCTTTTTACCTGTAAATTTACGCACAAAGTGGCTCTTGTGAAATGTTGAAGGGCATTTCGACTGCGCAGGCTCGCACAAAGTTTGTGTCTGCGTGCTGGGCTCACTCTGGGCTCGGGCATTTTTCCTGTAAATTTCCGTATAAAGTGGCTCTTGTAACATGTCCAAGTGCATAACCACTGCGCAAGCTCGCACATAGTGTGGTCCCTGGTCTTGTTCTGCGACATTTTCTCTCTAATTTCTCGCAGGAAGTGCTTCTTGCGCGCTGTCCAAGTGCATTTCGACTGCGCAGGCTCGCACAAAGTGTGCGTCGCGGTCTTGGGATCAATCCTCTTCCTCAACATCATCAACCTCCACCTCATCTTCCGCAACATCAACATTATCATCCTTTTCATCACCATCCTTGACATCATCATCATCATCATCATCATCATCATCATCATAATCATCATTATCATCATCATCATCATCATCAAAAAATAATAATCATCATCACCATCATCATCATCACCACCACCATCATCATCATTATTATTATCCTCACCCTCCTCAACATCATCATCCTCACCCTCCTCAACATCATCGTCCACAACATAATCATCCTCAACATCAGGCGTCTCAACAGCATCGTCCTGCAACTCATCATCCTCAAAATCATCATCCTCAACATCATCGTCCGCAACATTATCATTATCATCATCACCACCACCATCATCATCATCAACAACAGCATTATCATACATTATCCTCCCACTTCCCGACACTGTTTGGGGTCTCTTGCCGGGATATGTATTAAACCGGAAACCATGTTTTTCTTAGCCATCAAAATTGATCTGGGTAATAAATGATTAATAAACCTTTCAGATTTTCCCATCAATTTTGGGATCGTGATTCGTAGTCTGCACTAGTGGTGGTGATACATCGTACATGTAATTAAGCACGGAATATGGTAATCAAATATCATATACCTGCTAGGTTTATTCTCAACGCTGTTGACAGTGCATTCTCGAGTTGTCCACGTGGTCATGTATCAGATAACAATCGGCCCTAGTATTTACACCCTACTCCAAGTATAGTTCTTGGCTTTGCTTCAGGCACCCCTCAAAAAAATACTGTAGAACATATGGGGGGTTCCATAAATGGGGGTACCCCAATAGCTGGATGGTTTATTTCATGGAAAATTCCCAAAAATATGGATGATTCGGGGGTACCCCTATTTTAAGAAACCTCCATATTTCCAAAGTGGTGCATTTAATATTCAGAACCTAAAGCACAACCTCAAGAAAACCCAGGAGGTTCACAGGTACCCACAGCATCCCACAGCGACAGCGACATGAAATGACCCACCTGCATATATTCGAGTTGCACATCTTCGAGCTGTTCATTTTCGCTGGCGGTTGTGCTTCCTGAAACGCCACCAATGCACAGAGTCAGAATAGCGAGGCATGAGCTGATCTTGGGATGGGTATGCATGGGTCATATCTGGGATTAAACAAACTCACAAACGTCAGGCTTGACCTGAAAAATGGAGTATTCCAAACACCAAAAGCAGCTCTCTCACCACCTCAACAACGATCAACATAATGTTATGTAGTGTTGTTCGGTCTTCATCTTCTAGCCATACTCGTACGGTACGTATTGCTAGTGGTAGCTACCTGTACCAGACTTGGAAAAACTCCCAATCTGCTGGCAAAATGTGCCATTTGTTTTGTTTGTCATCGTCGCCATCATCATCATCATCATCATCATCATCATCATCATAATCATTCATCATCATTCATCATCATTCATCATAATCATTCATCATCATCATTCTTCATCATCATCATCATCATCACCATCATCATCATCATCATCATCATCCATTTCATCCATTTCATCCTCTCCTGATTCAAAACATCCCACGAGAACATCTGGCCTGTGCTAAATCTGTCTGCAAGGAGTGGCAGAGCCTTTCGGTCGCTCTTCAGCTTCCTGTGGGGGGAATAAGAGAGCAAAATGCGGTTGATACATGTTGAAACATTGTACACGTGTAGGGCAATGCAAAGGGCAATAACTACACTCATGGGTGTATGCAGATGCATATGTAAAATGTATATATATATATATTCATATATAGATGATATATATGAACACACGTATATATATATAATATGTATAAACATGGAACCATCCTCTGTTTGGGAAATTCATTGAAGTCAGCGAATGATTATTCAGGAATATTCATGAATATTCTATATCCACTACCTCGACTTGGCAAATGAACACTCCAGAACGAAGCAACCATCATTTCTGGAGCCCTCGGGGCCCCGAAAGCTGAACTGGCATGAAAAACTCCAAAAACTATGGTCTATGAATGTCTATGATACTTATAACTCCTATCCTATAACTTCTTATAATGGATGATTTTGGGGGTAGCCCCATGACTTAGGAAACCTCCATATAACCTTCCGGGAAATAATTCAAACGACCTGTGCGTTTTGTATTTGCATGTCCATTTCAGTAGGACAGAGTAAAGCGATATTTCTAGGCAGTAAAGACAAAAAAATGGCTAGTCACAAACAGTTAGACCCTGGTAAACATACAAAAAACTATGGAAAAATCCACCATGTTTTATGGGTAAATCCACTATTTCGACTGGGCCATGGCTTCAATAGCTATCTATGTATGTTTACCAGGCCGGGTAGACCCTGAGTTTTTTACACACTCTTGGGGAGTTCCCAGCCCCCAAGGTTTTTGGGCTGTGTGGTTAGCGTCATAGCATGGACATGATAAACACAGTCATATAGATTCATATGGCAGTGTGTCAAAACCTTGTACCCATGGTGAACATCAAAATAGCTGGTAAATGGATGTTCATCCCCCTAAAAATGGTATTAATAGGTATTGACCCATACCCAATATAGTCTAGTTGAATGTTTGGAAGCACCAAGCAGTTTGAGATTCGTTCTGTTTGAAGGGTTTCAAGCAAAACACCATGATGTGAGGGCATATCATGGCAGATTTATATTCGTTATGAGGTCGTATTATGATTGTGTAGAACCCGCCTCTTGGGATTCTTGATCATATAATATGATAATGTGAAGCTTGGATTCATAAACTCCAAAATTGATAATGTGAACCTTGGATTCATATACTCCAAACGGCTGTTTAATTGGGGTACCATTTAAGTAACAAATCAGATCACGGGAGTAGCCCGTATACTCAATAAACCATGCTTGGGGATGGTGGAGACCAACCTCGAATCGTAACCCCCAAAAAGATCGAAAAGTGAACAAAAAGTGATGAAAAACCCTATCTTGATGGGAATTTACTTATTTCATCTCATTTCCAGCTTTTTGGGGGTATAAATCTATATCAGAACCATTAAGAACCCATCAGCCGGGCGATTTTTGATGGCTCCGGATGCGTCCTGGCAGCTCTCATTCGAACCGCGCTTGGCGTTTCGCCGTCGGAGTCCGGACCCGTCGATCAACGCTCGAGCAAAGATGGGCTGCGACGACATACGAAAGCACGATGGAAGACATCATGGAAGAAACCTTAATGTGGTACCCTCCAGTAAACTAACATAGCTATTGAAAATTGCCATTTATAGTGGATTTACCCATTAAAAAATGGTGATTTTCCATAGTTATGTTAGTTTACCAGAGGGTAAACCCAAAAACAAATCATTCCACCCACAAATCATCCAAAATTTAGACCATGTTAATCCATTTTGGTATTGAAACCCATGGTGACTTGGGGTATCCCCATTTTAGGAAACCCCCATATAAATGGCATACACCATCCCAAATTGTAGATTGTTGGGTCTACCGCGTTACAGTACACCAACCTTACGGTTTTACATGATTTCATCGAAGAAGTTTTGTGATTTCAGGTTAGGACTGAGTACCCAACTGATAGAATGTGTGATCATCAGGCATGTCATTTGGCTTCGTCCAGCCATGGGCTATCCAGAGATTATACTCAATATTCGTCCGAATGAAAATTGAGTTTTTGGTGTAGAATTACTATATGTTTTGTCAAAAGCCCATATCATGTTGTTGATTTCATCCCATGTACCCTCTGGTAAACTCACATAACTATGGAAAGTCACCATGTTGAGTGGATAAATCAACTACAAATGGTCATTTTCAATAGCTATGTTAAATTTCCAGAGGGTATATCTATAAAATCACCATTAAATCCCATTAAATCACCATTAAACCACCATCATAGCAACCTTTCTTGTCAGCTGTCCCGCCATGCCGAACGCCCGCCGAACCCGGCAACGACCTGTGGCAATCGCAAGACGTTGCCGAGCCAAGCGTAGAGCGCGTCAGAGATCAACACCGAGGTGATTCCAATGCCACCTGCCGGGGCGAAGCGCGAGCCAAAGATGTCGGGTCGGTTGTGAAATAGACATGTTGCTAATGGTTGCTAATGGTTAATAATGGTTAATAATGGTTCATAATGGTTAATAGTGGTTAATAATGGTTAATAATGGTTCATAATGGTTAATAATGGTTAATAATGGTTAATAGTGGTTAATATATTATATTACTATACCATATATAGGGATATACTAACTATACCCATAACCTACAAAAATTGGGATTGGTTTATACATGTTTTATAGCACCTATAAAAATGGTGATGACTGTGGGATGGAGTATTCATACAAATGGGGATGCGTCAGAACTTATTGTCACCATATATGGGGAAATAACTGTCCATTAGCCAGCTATTTTAGGGTACCATCCAGGTACCAGGGTTTTGACTCATAGCCAAATCATTGCCAATCTTAGATACCCTGCAAAAAATAAAATTCTTTGCTGGTGAACGTAGATATTCCCATTGATACCAAAAGACTAAAGGATTAAAGTACCCATCTAATATTAACCTGGAAATGGGGGTTTCCATAGTCATGGTGGTACCCCAAAATAGATGGTTTCTAATGGAAAATCAAAAAAAAATGGATGATTTGGAGGTATCCCCATTTCTGGAAACCCCCAAATAAGATCTTAAATAAGGTAAGAAAATGCTTTGCCTGTCGATTCCCTGTCGATTCCCTGTCCAGCAAAAACATGTCAAGCGTGGTTTGGCGAGCCGTCTACAAGACCATGGGTGCTGGTCAAAGGGGTCCCTCTGATCCAGATGGAACATCGAGGCCCGATGTTAGACTTTCCTCTTCAAAAACCACAGTTTTTTCGCATCCCGCTGTTCCAATCTTCGGAGAAACTCCTGATATTGCTATTCTCATCTCTGTTGATGAAATCCATCACCAGATACTGTATCTGTAAAGTGGCTTGTTAACATCTCCAAAACCATATGTCATGTATCATATTACTAAAGTATGTCCTGTTGTACAATCATAATTCCCATGACATACCCCATGTTTTTGTGTTGAAGTTCTACAGTATATTCTGCTATATCCCATATGCATTCCTTTTTGTTTGATGGTAAATCCCGCATGTTTTTTCTTGGCATTGGTGAAAAATCCTTGTTTTAATGATCAATTCTCCATCTTTATCTACTGGTTGGTGGTATACCTACCCCTCTGAAAAATATGAAAGTCAATTGGGATAATTATTCTCAATATATGGACAAATAAAATTCACGTTCCAAACCACCAACCAGTCTAAAGTACAATCTCTAATCTAAAGTTTGTTTATCCCCAATTGGTTCAGTCTCCAGGTCTGCAATGTTGGTGCACCAAGAATAAACCACCCACATTTTGATGCGGTTCTGCAACCCATCTATATCAATTTATTGCAAGATTGGGGACGGTCTAGTATTCCTACTAACATCTACTAACATTATTGGTGCAATACTAAATAACATTATATAGGTGTGTTAAAGTTATATAATTAATATCTATAACTTATACCATCTGGTTAACATTATTGATGCTTTTTGACATTATTGATGTTTTTTTCATTAGTGGTTTACTAATTATTCCCCACCTGCCAGGTGAGGGTTGTTAGATTTTATGTCAGTTGCCTGGTCCTCCTCCTCCTCCTCCTCCTCTCCTCTCCTCCTCCTCTCGTTGTCCTCCTCCTCTCGTTGTCCTCCTCGTCATCCTGCTCAACTGCGACTCGCGATCCACAGTGTTCTCTGTCGGACCTCAACCACGACCATCCACGCCCAGTGTTCCCTGCCGGACCTCAACCACGACCATCCACGCCCAGTGTTCCCTGCCGGACCTCAACCACGACCATCCACGCCCAGTGTTCCCTGCCGGACCTCAACCACGACCATCCACGCCCAGTGTTCCCTGCCGGACCTCAACCGCGAGTATCCCCGCCCAGTGTTCCCTGCCGGACCTCAACCACGACCATCCACGCCCAGTGTTCCCTGCCGGACCTCAACCGCGAGTATCCACGCCAAAAGATATGCCACATAGAGTGCCAGAAGATATGCCAGATAGAATGTTAGAAGATATGCCAGATAGAATGCCAGAAGGTATGCCAGATAGAATGCCAGATAGAATGTCAGCTAGAATGCCAGAAGATATGCCAGATAAAGTGCCAGAATGTTTGCCAGATAGAATGCCAGCAGATTTGCCAGATAATATGCCAGAAGATATGCTAGATAGAATGCCAGATGGAATGCCAGAAGATTTGCCAGATAATATGCCAGAAGATATGCCAGATAGAATGCCAGATGGAATGCCAGAAGATATGCCAGAACATATGCCAGAAGATATGCCAGAAGATATGCCAGAACATCTGCCAGAAGATATGCCAGAACATCTGCCAGAAGATATGCCAGGTAGAATGCCAGAAGATATGCCAGATAGAATGCCAGATCGAATGCCAGAAAATATGTCAGATAGAATGCCAGAAGATTTGCCAGTAACAAAATGTATAAATGTCATGGTGGGGATCACACGAAGTAAAGTAATTGATGTTTTTTCATTAGTGGTTTACTAACATGATTGGTTCATCTGGTTCATATTCAGTATACCCTCTGGTAATTTAACATAGCTATTGAAAATGGCCATGTTTAATGGGAAAACTCACTATTTCAATGGCCATTTTCAATAGCTATTTTGACATAACCAGAGGGTAACCCTCAATTTTTCCTCCAGATGAACCCAAGCACCTGCCGGAGCGGAAGCGGCTGCCGCAGCACGGATGGAGGAGAGGGTCTCCTGCGCCAGGGCCGCGGAAGGGAGACCTGCAGGATGAATTCACCGATGCATCGGGACACACATCGCTATGGCATCCCACTGAAAAATCACAGCTTCCGTTGAAAATTACAACGGAAAGGCCTCAGTTCGAAGTTGATTTATAAGCCCATAAAACATCATAAAACCCTATTGTTATTGGAAATATAGACAACTTATAACTTTAGCCAACAACCTGACCACCGCTGGTCGCGCAGTCCTCTCGAACCCGTACCGCAATGGCATAGAACTCACGATCTGAGCAGTCTCAAAACCACCACCATTTTGGAGGGTCACCTGGCCCTTTGTTTACCCTCTGGTAAACGTTTACATAACTATGGAAATATCATAATATCCAGCATTTTTAATGGGAAAACTCACTATTTCAATGACCATGTGCAAGTTCGCAAACTGTTAGTTTACCAGAGGGTATCTCATTAAATTTCACTACATCCCATTAAATCCCATTAAATCCCATTAAACCCCATTAAACCTCCATTAACCTTTGTTGGGTTGGTTTAACCTTCTGTTTCTGCTTTGACCGTGACCGTGGCTGTTGGGTACCAATTGACATCATGGGATTTCTATGGATCTAAGTACTAAGATTTCAGGAACCCCTCAAAAACCTGGGATGTAAACTCAAACTTCCCGAAATTGAATTGGAAGTTTATATATATATATGTATACATCATCATCATCATCAAACCCTTATTGAAGATCTTCAATGAATGTAGAAGTTTAACGGGGGTGGGATAATTAAACAATTATTGAAGATCTTCAATGAATGTAGAAGTTTAACGGGGGACGGAGAATTAAACCCTTATCGAAGATCTTCTGATCTTCAATGAATGTAAAGTTTAAGGGGGGTGGGACCATTAAACACTTATTGAAGATCTTCAATGAATGTAAAGTTCAACAGGGGTGGGATTTTAATATTCACTAATACCTTTGTTGATCTTCCCAATGGAATGCAGAGTTGCAACAACATTTGATTGGGAATGTGGGTCCTCTACGCTGCAACGCCTAGGCAAAGCCCAGGCGTTGTATATATACACATATCTATATATACCGATATATATATATACAATTATATACCTATATATATATATATGTGTATACCATTATATATATATACCTATATATATAATCATATATACCTCTTAACCTCCAGATTTCCTTTTCTGGAAAATCCCCAACTCATTCTCAGGGACACCCTCCACACCTTCCGGAGCCGAATCGCAGTCCGCATCCGCCTGAGTAACTACTCAATCCGTCCCTATAACCATGGGTCAAAAATTATGCTATCCTCTGGTTATTAAAAACATGGCCATGGTATAGATATCCCATAGAAATAGATGATCAAAATGATGATTTACCTATTAACAGCATGGTGATTTTCCAGTTCGCAAACTGTTACAGTAAATAACCAGATGGTAACTTCGCGACGGGTGAAATCCACAATGTAAAGCCAGTGTTCGTGGCAGCAAGAAGTGGAACCCGGCTAGAAAAAGTACGAAAAACCTCCACAAGTTCATAAAATCATGTCAGTCGCAATTCAGTTGGTTTGATTTGTTTCAATGGCTCCAAAATGTTCGGAAAAAAATATGCTTTCAGTGATTTTCCATAGTCATACCATGAGATATCATGGACAATATCAAGTGTCATATCCCATTGGATCCCATTCGCGGCACCTGAGCCTTGTCCGTCTCCTTCAGAGAGGTTTCAGCCTCGGTTCCCCAAAGAGATGGGCGCTTTTTGATCCTCAAAACATGCGGGATTTACGGTGATTTATGCATTAAAACATATTGAAAACAAAAAAGTAGACTAATCATCAAATATTCCAATTCTTAAGTCAGCTAAGTGTTTGTTTTCAACTAAACTAACATTTGTTTTAGTTCATGATAAATTAATATCTGTAGTTAGATGGGGAACATAAAGCAACTCACGAAGGGGATGCCTTCAGGGGATATAACCACCAGGTATGGTCCGGTATGGTGGTATGATGGGTATATGACCAATAAAACATCACAAAATTGGTACAAAGATGTACGAAGAAGATAGACACTATGGGTATAGGAATTCACAATGGATGCTAAAATATCAAACATACCCTCTGGTAAACGTTTACATAACTATGGAACATCACCATTTTTCATGGGAAAATTCACTATAAATGGTGATTTTCCATAGTTATGTTAAATTACCAGAGGTTATCTAACAAAGACACATGGGGTGGGTTCATGGCTACATGTTGGAGAGCCATATCCAGATCAACCAGTCACTCCAAAGTGTGGTTTTTACGTCATATATCTCTGCGAAAGATCGTTAAAGCTCTTGATATATATATATATATATGGGTAAATTATAATAATTCACTAACCTGAAATAAGGTCATTTGGGGATATTTCCCCTTATTAACGATGATTTCCAGTGAGGTCGCAGTGAGGTCGTTATAATTTACCCATATATATATATATATACGTTGGTTTATAATCCATGAACTAATGTGAACTAATAGATATCTCCACTATAAACCGTAGTTATATATTAGTACTGGTTGGTGGTATACCTACCCCTCTGAAAAATATGAGTTCGTCAGTTGGGATGATGACATTCCCAACTAAACGGAAAAATAAAAAATGTTCCAAACCACCAACCAGTATATATCTATATATATATGTATATATATACCAGTTCAAAACATATACGTATACCCAAATAGAACTTTTTTTGAAGATGTTTGAAGCCTTTGACTCATAGAATCTGCCATACCAGTAGAGGTCTCTCTCATGACAAAAAAACGTTTTAAGCGAAGGTTTCAGAGGTTTCAGAATGATGTGACACGACTGTCTTATCCCATTGGAATTACCCTCTGGTAATTTAACGTAGCTATTGAAAATGGCCATAGAAATAGTGAGTTTTCCCATTAAAAATGGTGATTTTCCATAGCTATGTTAGTTTACCAGAGGGTAATGTGTTTCATTTTGTTTCTGCATGTCAAAAGATGTTTCGTGTTAGAATCTGTTAGAACCTGCTGAAGCTGTTGATCAGAATACCACTCAGAAAAAAAGTCCAGTCTTTTGGGCAAGTTCCTTTGCACTGACATGACTCTAGTTTCATGTTGGGTACATATTAAATTGGTAAACGTAACAGCTCCACTTTTGTTACGTTTGTTGGTAAAATTAGAAACATATAGTGTTGCTGACGCAAAGAGTCTTAGTTCGATTCCCATCTGGGATTTGGTCAAAAAAAACCTGTACCATCTTGTATCCTCGTGCCAAAATAACTTTCAGTCGCGATGATTCCCGTGGCCACGAGGGCCGTTCTGGGGACCAAGACCATCAGGTGTCGTCCTCCAGAATCTCCTGGAAGCATCCCGGGGTGCGTGAAATCGGGGACCCAAAAATCATCTCAACTTATCTCAACTTGGTCGTTTCTAATGAAGAAATCACAGGTGAAGAGAGCTTCCCAAGTTAGAGAAAATCAAAATCTGTAGTGGGATGCGCATAGCACTTGCTAACTTGGTTAGTGTATTTATAAAATCATATGAACAACCAGTGTTGGTGGGAATATGTCCAATAATAAGCAGTAGTTCGTAGCTACATGATGTACAGTTCAGCTTGCAAATGGCGCTCTCCCATTTATGAAGTGGTTACAACCATAGCTATGAACCTTTTTTCCACTGCAGAGACAGATCTGTGCTTGGGAAGCAGGAATCACCTTTCAAGTAAAATCAATTGGTGACCTCTATAGAAATGTCTGGTTCTTTCTCCAGTGCTGTAAAGCCTTGGACGAAACCATTCTGGCTCAGTCGTGCTTGGGATCTGGCAATACATTACATTACAGTACCTCACATTGAATAACACTACACCACATTTCCATCTTGCTGTATTTTGGTCCAAGGCAAACCTAGTTTTGCTAAATGGGTTCTACCACAGTTGCAGGTTACATACCACTTGAATATACTTATATTAACTGGGATGCACACTGATCACACTGAAGCAGCTCCTGTTTCAAAGCCCCGATCCATGGGGTAAATCATCCAACAATTTTTAGCCTTGGCATCCAGTCACTCCAAAATTTTGTCGGGTGTCACCATCAGCAATTTTGGTATGTGAAACGAGACGGTTGGAGTCTACCCCAGCCTTGGATCGGGGTCTCCCCCAGTCTTGGGCACATCGTGTGGTTATGTAAAATAGAAACTGCCTCCCCCCGAGTCGTTGAATCAAGTCCTCGTGTTGTGCAGCAATTTGTAAACTGCCAGATGGTTGTCCTTGGACTTTCAGCAACCACTGGTGAAAACCAGGTTTTGCAGTTGCTACCTGCGATGTTCTACGAAATATGAGGCAACACCAGGGACTCCGGGACCCGGGATTTTTTTCAGATGAACAGTGTTCAAAACCTTTTGTTATGCCATGCTGCGCAGGCGGTTTAGTAGGGATTCTCAAAATGGATGGGTCATGATAATCCCTATCACCAGGATGCCAGGATGTCATTCGTCAGTTCCTACAGTAATGTCAACCCTGGATTAATAAACCCCTAGCCTAGATTGTTTAATTGGGAGGGTGCCATTTAAGTATCAGATGAAATGACTTTGGAGGAGTACCCCCTAATTAACAAACCATGTTTTATTAATCCGGGGTTGACATTACTCAGTATCTACTCAATGTCTACTGTGGTCGCTTGCATGCTGCAACATACGCCTGAGAAACTGCACCAAATACACTTGTGAAAGGGACGTGCAACACCAATTGGACCTGTCAGATTGGATAATTGATAAATCCCAAACCTGACGGCCGCCATGGTTTGATGGTTTCCCCAATATTAAGTACCACGAAATCACCATGAAAAAATCATGAAATCACCATTCTGACAATTCATAGACCTCGGAAAAAAATCCGGATGGCTACTGTGAACGGTCCAAAGATTTTGCCTAGTCCCATCGTAAGCCCAAGATATGTTCGCTGAATTTGCTCACCAGTTGCTCACCAGTTTGGTCCAAACTTCACAAGCTTTGACAGAAGATATGGCAACATCTCTCCATATCTTTGAAACCATCTTTAAAACCACCAACCGAATGAACATTACAAGGATTGAAACCCAAAGTCACCAAAAAGATATCTCAATCATTCTAATTCATACCCCCAAAGAGATAGAATAACTGTTTACCACTATTTTAGTAGGATTTCACTTGTCCACCTTTTTTTCACCCAACAGAAACAGCGAAAATCTGCACACTGCGCCCGCCAAGCATCTCATAGAGCCATGACCAAACACCGTCTAGAGCCTGGTCAATTGATGTCAGTGAATCACTCAACTAGCAGGAGTGTGCTATTAAAAGTGAAAAGAATAGCTTTTGGGTAGTCCCATGTATATTATATATATAGATAGATTAATTATTATTATTGTTATTAAAATTGTTGATATATAATTAATTATATGCTTATATATCATGTGCATGGATACCGTGTACCTTGGAATTCGAAGGACTAGCCAGGTGGCAGATCCTGAAAATCAGGAACGTTTTGTGGACATAACATGAAATTTCACCAAATAAGCCGTATGAAACTGGGAATATGTGGTAACTGGGTGATTCTATGGGTAAACCGGTATGAGCCAATTGCCTCCGCCTTTTGTGCGTAACACAGCGCACTGTCCAACAAAAAGATTGATATTTTTTTGGGGGAAGCCTGCGAAAATGGGAGCTCTATAAACACATAGATCTAAACACATTTAAACACTCCACTCAGGCGGTACATAGATCCTTCTGCTTGAGCCTCTCTCAGTGATCTTTGGAAACATCTCCGCCTGTTGCTTTCAGCATTTGGATGTGCATCCCGTAGCAATATGTAGCAATTGGTTGAAGCCTGGTGAGATCTGGTGAGCACAAGTCCCAAATTCCAACAATTGGATCACCGGGGGATGGGACCAGGCCTTGTGAATGGCCTGTAGGGCTAGGATTGGGCGATAGAGCATGCGTACCACCTGGCGGCCCATGCGAAGCATGACTTTGAAGCATGAAATCCAGTCGTTGGCGACTCAGCCTCAGCTCAAACTGGCTAAACTCTAGAGATCTCTATCGCTAGAGTCCTAAACTGTCCTAAACTGTCCTACCCTCTGGTAAACTAACATAACTATGGAAAATCACCATTTTTCATGGGAAAATCCACTATAAATGGGCCATTTTCCATAGCTATTTTGACATAACCAGAGGGTAAATTGAAAGATCCAGGGATCCTCACAGCTGATCTGGACTCCCACAGCTCAGGCGTCAATGGGTTTCGGATGACATCCCATATATGAAATGGAACATAAAATTCATGTTTGAAACCACCAACCAGATGAATATCAGGAAATGGTAAACTTCATTCGTAGCTCCAAATTGCTCCAATGTAGGCGGGTCGCCTCCCTTCCACCTGCTGAGCTGGCAGTTGCGGAGCTCGGATCCTGGAATTCCTGGCGTTTTTTCGGTGAACCAAACAGGCTTTGGTAAAGCCTGGAATATGTCGGATACTCTTTGGCAAACTGTTTCATGCGTCTATACTTACTATATATATAATATATATATATAATATATATATCAGTATGCCTATTATCCTACTAACCTTTCAAGTTCACGTTGCAACTGAGTCTCTGGCAATATCATGTGATACTATGATACCTAGGCCGATAGATCCTTAAAGAATCCACAATCCATGATGGCAACCCTGGATTCATATGGTTTATTTATACTGTGGCTACCCTCCAAATTATGCTAATATATATATAATCATATCTGATAATATCAATATAATATCTGAAAATATATGATAATATATGATGATATTTGATAATATCAATATATGAACATATATGATAATATATAATTAATCATATCTGATCATATGATACCCCCGCCAATTCAACAGCTGATTCATCCAGGGTTGACTTGGAAATCTGTGTCCTCATCCCAGCTGCGAAACCTCCACATAGGGGGCCCAGTGATGTGAGCGTTGGTTAAAAAAAACACGAAATAACCCAAAAAGAATACTATAGTTACTATAGTTATATCTACTAAGTTGGATTATAAACCATGAAATAAGCAAAAAAATACTATATTTAATTATATCTACCATAAACCATAGAATTCAGCCACTTATAAGGCAACTGAACGCTGCCCCATCATAAACCCAGGTTGTATATTTTGCATTGAGGTAAAATCAACGGGTCGGTTTGGCACTGTTGTTGAAGAACATGGGTACTTTCCCCGTGTATGAAGCTATCAACCAGTGGGAATTTGGAACATGTATCATCTGAGATAAGGCTGCATATGAAAGAAAACAAATATATGATATGATACTGTAATGTTGATAATGTTGTAAACCACACATCTGGTAAGAGGGATTTAAGCAGCAAAAAAAACAGAATTTTCGTAGGAATGCAACATGATGTCACTAGCAAAGTATTGGGACAAACCCCTATGTGGTAAACATAGAAACCCTTTGTGTGAATTCTAGCCTACGCTGCCCTAAGTCAGTGGTTTGTCATCTTGTCCATCGAAATTGCAATGTTAGGGTATGTATTGGTATACGTATACCTTTCACTCAAACATGTCACCCCCATGAATACTATTATATCTACCATAAACTATAGTTGTAAGTTGGTTGATAAACCATGAAATAATCCCCAAAAAAATACTATATATATATATATCATGTTATATCATGTTATATCTACCATAAACCATCTACCATAACCATATTAAGCCACCATAGTTTTCCGCCACCTTAGCATCACTGACACGCGCAATGCAAAACCAGGCATCCCAGCAGGGTCTGCAATGCGAAGTCGCCCAAGATGCGAGACACGCTCAGAGCCAGGACGCTGACCTGGCGCGAAAATTTACGGCCGCTGGATTTTCCCATGGAAAAACCACACATTTGTAGATTTGGAACGACATGGAACTATCATTGTTTAACATCAACCTACAATACTGAAAGGGTTGTTTTATGGGAAATAAATCACCAGAAACCATGTCTGGTTAGCCTCCAATTCTGGGAGCAGTCGTAGTCTGCTGTTGGTTGTCAACTCCGCAAAAACATCGGGATGACACCAACAAACATGGAAAAAAGGTCCAAGCTGCTTGGGTTGTCCCACTTGTACTTGAGGACAAGGAGTACTCCGTGGATGTCAGAAAACCTTCACGAAAAAACCATGTCACGTAATGAATTGGAAATGGAGCATTTCACAACGAAACCCGAAATCACTGGATTGGTTTAAGGGAAAATTTACAGGAAAGCCCCATATTTAATGGGAAAATCTATGGTTTCCTGTAGATTTTCCCTTAAACCAATCCATTGACAAAAGCCATCGTTTATCATGTTTGCAGGTATGAACTCACAAAGTGGTGCCCACCGGTTGAAAGTCGGGGTAAGGCAAAAACGCCCAGCAAGATATGTCTACCATCAAGTTATGTTGGTTACAAAGCGACTTAGCTATTGAACATGGCCATTGAAATAGTGAGTTTTCCCATTAAAAATGGTGATTTTCCATAGTTATGTTGGTTTACCAGAGGGTAACATTATGGGGCACCACCTTGTATTCATATTTACCCCCCAAGATATAAAAAAGAGCTACCTGGCCTGTGCCCCTGGGCAATAGCTAGCCATGCACAACGGGCGATCACGTCCTGAACGGCTTGGGGATCTGCTGACTGGTTAGGATGGCTGGTTGAGCCATCTATGTACATATATGTATATGTATATATATATATATACATAATATGTTGGTTGAGCCATCAATATGTATATATATATATATTGTATATATGCATATATGTATATAATATTAATATTAATATATATATATATATGAGCACTTCAAACCTTCAAACATGCTGTCCAGTCATCAAGAGGTCAACATTTGCTTCCACCCGCGACCACAAATGAACTGGGCCACTTCTTCAAAGGATTGCAAACTGTGCCGCGTCTCTGTGTATCCAATGGCAACGTGAAATGTGTGTCTAATCATAGCTAAAACCACCATCCAAACTGGACTGGTTTGTCCATAAAGTATGATGTTTCGGGTATGTTCATATATCTTATATCCAGTACTCGATAAAGCCTATGTTCATCAGCAAAGACATTGTCCGTAAAATATACCGAAAACCGCATTGAAGCCATGATGGTTCACCGATTTCCACTATCATTCGTGTGGTCGTAATGAGTTCTTCAAGTGAGCCGTATACATTCTATAATATTAACACAAGATCGCGCCACAATACTAGTCAAAATGAATGGAAAACACTATGGAAAACCAACAATAATCTAGATATACATAACTAAACAACAATTGTACGAGTCATAGATGAAAATAATAAGCATGTGTGTATAATACATATATATATATAGTTATATATATATAGTTATATATATATATATCATATGTAGATATATATATATATATATGATTATATATGATCATATATGTAGCGTAACAAATCAAGGATGCCATTTCCTGCCACACGGTGAATCTTTACCTCCTGCCCCGCCTAGAAGGTTCAAACCATAGCCGACTCGCGCCACGCCCAAGCTCTCAGCGAACCTCACGTGAAAGATAGGTGAGTTCAACCATGGGCAACTAATGTAATGTGGGTAAAACAACCCATAATACTAAACCATATAGGGATATTACTATACCATATATTACTATATTATTACTATATATATATATATTACTATAGTAATATATATTATACATTACTATACCATATAGGGATATACTAACTATACCCATAAACCTACCATTTGGGATTGGTTTATACCACCTATAAACATGGTGATGACTGTGGGATGGAGTATTATTGTTTTACCCACATAAAATGGAGGTTTCTATGGAGCTTTTGCAATAAATCATTCCATTTTTCGTCCATTGCTATGAAAAAACCCACGCTTTTGGCGATCCCTCATTTTGAGAAACCCATGTAATATGTATGTATATAGATATCTATACATACATGTAGTCTCTGACATGTCATCATATTGATATACTAAAGTGTATATGGATATGATATGTATAGTTGACAGAAAAACATCCATATCATGATATGTGTATATATGCAGTATCTGACGTTGCATGATGTTTCCCATTCACAACCAAAGTGCACACAACACCTACATCCAATGATCCCATCTTTGGATATCTCCCGAAGTTTCAAAATCTACAGGACACCATGGTCTACCCCGCATAAACAAATCGTTTCTCCTCTTAATTTTCTTTGGGCAAACATCGGAAAACATATGCAAATCATCTTCAAAAATGTTTTTATGATAATAACCATTATATGATAACAATTAATATCCATACATTATTAACATGTCATAACCTGTCATAATCTTTGATATACCCTCTGGTAAACTAACATAGCTATGGAAAATCACCATTTTCTATGGGAAATTCCACTATAAATGGCCATTTCCAATAGCTATTTTGACATAACCAGAGGGTAATGGCTTCAGTACATAAGTCCTTGTTTCTTCACCCGGGCTGTGGTCCCCGTGGTCCCCGGGCTCGGTGTGAATGTGAAGAAACTGCCTGGCATACCTGGCGTGGCATAGACAAAAAAACTGGACGTTGGGAAGTTTTTTAAGGGAAAAAAAAAAGTATGTATATATATATATATCAGTATATATATATATATCAGTATATATATATATTATGAATAATAATATTAATAATCATGATAATAGTTGTATATATTATATATACATATGCGAGTGCCTCTTTTTTTCAACATGGGAAGTACCTGCAGTTCTGATCAGATCTCCATCAGAATACGGAGTCTCGTCACCTGTTGCGATTCTTAGAACATCCCAAGGAAACTATGCTGCGATGATTTTTCCCAAGTCAGAACCACTGCGAAGAAGATCTGTCTGTATATGTATATCATAAGTCAAGAAAGATTGCGTGTCCTAACCAAAATTATCAACACTTGGACTATCTCAGTATCAAAGCAACAGGTTCAAGATACACCCAACTTTTCAGAAAGACCCCTCATCCATAAAAAAATGAACCTATCCAATCATATTTTACTGGTTGGTTAATAGGTATCCCTATAAACCGGATTAATTGTGGTAAATACGAATCACAGTTACAGTAGCTAGGGGCTATTATCATAGCCACTGAACAGGATCTTGAAAACTAGCCAGCAATCATTTAATATGTTTTAATATCAATAGTGATACCCTCTGGTAATTTAACATAGCTATTGAAAATCACCATTTTATAGCTGGGAAAATCCACTATTTCTATGGTCATTTTCAATAGCTACGTTAAATTACCAGAGGGTACATCTTCTACAAACCATCCTTCTCCGCAACAGCCGATGAAACTCATCCATTTCTGGATGATCTCCCTATAAATTTTTGATGGTTCAGACTTGACCAGGTCTAACCCATGGCAACCGGAAAAATCCAACGCCTCTCGGCATCGAGGCGCTCAACTTGATGTTCCATGTCCGCACTCAAGGGTCTCACCTGTTTGGGATGGCGGCCCTTCTCACCTTGGGTGTTCAGTAGCTTAGAAGATCTTAGCAGAACATCTAAGAATCAATCCATGTTCAATCAAAACTTGAAGGCTTAAAGGATCATCAGATGTCCTATCCTTTGTTAGGGGTAGTTTGAGGGTGTCATCCAGCAAAGTGATGGCTCTAGTTGTCTTTAGAAGAGACTAAAAGGCTCAAGACTAGTCTCAAAATGTCCAATATTCTGACACTTCTGAAGAAATGGGATGTATTGTAAAATACAGCAGCTTTGTAGAAGAAACAGCAACAAGGTAGTATCATATGAATAGAGTTGTATGTGACAAACTAACGCATCTAACCCAATGAGGTAATGACAGCAGTACATTACGACCTGTTCACCTCGCTATGATAATTTCAACCATCAACAAGGGTGAAACCAAACATCTGCTCAAGCATGTGGCGTGGTTGCGACTGCGAAGTTCCGAATGTGTTGTAAGAGTTTTTGGAATGACCAGCCATTATCAAACATGGCAATTGAACCTCGGAAATTCTATATGGAAATCTCCATGTGTAGATGGATTGTTTGCCTCTGAAAAACGATGAGTCGGAATCATGATTTGTAGAAAAATAGTGATTCAGATTCCCAAAAAACATGTTCGCCTCTGTACTGTCCATTATATACCCACATTTTTCCTACAAGTTTCTATGATTTTCCTATATGTTTCCCATTTTTTCCCACTGTTTATGCCATGTTTTGATTCCCAAACGCTACCGCATGGGTACCGCTACCGAGTACCGCCACATGCCTGGAAGTGGATCCCCACGGGACCGTCAAAGGCGATCTCCAGTCCTTTGGTTAACGCTTTATAGTGGTTAATAGTGATCCATGAACTGATCATTTACATGGTTAATCATAGTTCATACATGTTAATACATGTTAATACTGGTTAAATCAATACATCATTCATATTCATGAAAATCATGTTTATAGCTGGTTCACCATGGTGATTGATGGTGATTTGTGTGATTAGTGGCTTTGATCAATGGCAATGATCCTACGGAAATCAAACGCGGCTGGGAAATCCCTGATACGGGAAATGAGGGTTGATAGCTGGGAAGATCCGCTATAAATGGTGGATTTGACCCATCATATAGATTTCATCAGCATTACCCAACCTGGTTATTTAAATATAGCCATGGTATAGATGGTCCATTTATAGATGGATAGCATGGTGATTTTCCATGGCTATGTCAAATAACCAGATGGTAGGATTTCAACATGAAAAATGGTGACTTGATTCGCTGTCGTAAGTCACTCGGGACTGCAAAAAAAACATCCAGGGGTAGTCCAGTTTTGATATTTATCCATCTTGGGAGAACCACAGGAAGTGGAAAATAACATCTACGATGTTAAGAGAAACCAGCGGTTTCGGAAAAACAGCATTCTGGGAACTGAAAAATGGCGACAACACAAGTATGTGTTTTTTCTTGATCAAGATCCCGGACAATAACCAATAGTGTTTGCACGTGTGCTCTGATTTTTAAATGTGCCATGATCACAAGAGAATCACCAATCACTTCATAGAATTCCCGGTGACTGATGATTGACAAATGATGTGCGCGTTTTTGAATTACATTACAAGCATCACCAACCAGGTCTTTAAGATTATAGCCCAAACAATTGTCCAAAATCACCAACCATGATGCAGCTCAAACATGGAAAAACACGACACGATGGCCTCGATGTTTTTTCTGCGAATGATTCGATTTCACAATGAATAGCTTGGCCTCAATGTTCAATTGGGGTCTACAGACTTCATTTCCTATACTGGTTGGTGGTATACCTACCCCTCTGAAAATATGAGTTCGTCAATTGGGATGATGACATTCCCAACTGAATGGAAAAATAGAAAATGTTCCAAACCACCAAGCAGTATAGTATATAGTGGCCAAAAAATGTGCCCCCAACCGGAGTGCTTGACTCGGTGCCCCAACCATCTGGACGCGCACCCTGGGACAAGGTGGGCCTCGATGATTGTCCAGCGCCAGACTTCACTCGGAAGAGAATCTAGGTTCTATCCCAAAGAATTCCCATTGTTTTAGTTCTGTCCTAGGAACATCATAGATTCATAGATGTTTTTTAAATGATTATAAATGGTAAGCCAGAGCTCACCAGGTCAACCCAACAGCAACGAAACTCCTTCCTTTTTCTACCTTCCGCTTTGAATCTGGGGTCTCGACCAGAAAAGGCAGCTGACAGTCGCAGCCAATGCAATATGGAAAATTCAAATGCAAAATCAAAATGTTGAATGTGGATTCCAAAATGTGCACTTCTCGATTTGTGCGTGAACTCTCTTGCATGCAGGCAGTGCAGGGTCTGTCTCTCTTGCACTCCCCCTCAGTATGGTCGTCAGTCACATACTGACAAGACTAAAAGGAAAATTTTCCGCTCAAGCTGCCCATTCATTGATTCGTTCTTGACATCTCACACACATGTCGTATCGGACTGCTTCTCCTTTGTGAGGGCATAGAGAGTCAGTATGAAATCTTCCGGGATATCCAGTGATCAAAATTGGAAATCCAGGTGGCGGAAGGCCTCTTGGCCTAGTGACTTCACGGCATGTTGGACACCACCTTGACAGGCGTGCAGGTCCAACTCGAGGATTGGTGAGATATGGGCACTGATGCGACAGGTGATAAACCTTTCCATATTGAGTTCTGAGCACACCAAAACCTGGACCTGGTAGATCCTCCCGATCTTCTGGTGGATTGAACCTCAGACGCTCTCGGATTTCACTGACTTCTCTTTCGATGTTCTGCAGCTCATTCACAACCGCTTGACCCATTTCATCTTGTGAGTCTGTATCTCCAGACATCTCTGAGCTGGAGCTTTCTTCTTCTTCTCTTTCAGGGAGGAATTGGGGGCGCACCGCATCAGCGGGCCCAGCAGGCGTTCGAGATGGTCCTTCTTCTGGCTCACCATCCCGCACCTGAGAACGGAGGCGGACTGAGCTTTCGCTCCTTCCCTGCTCACGTTCTGGCTGGAGGCGGACTGGGTTTTCACCCCTTCCCTGCTCACAGCCTGGCTGGAGGCGGACTGGGTTTTCACCCCTCCCCTGCTCACAGCCACTTCTCCCTTTCTCTCCAATTCTCTTCTCTTCCTTCCCAGATGTCTTCTCTCCTCGGGCTTCAGGGCGACTTCGGACAGAAGCAGTCAGAGCATTTCTCTGTCTCATCCATCTTACTCCGACCTTCCAAAGCCATTGGAAGAAGAAAGTCAGCAGCACTATTCCGAAAGCAAAAACTGCCAACATCATCCAGAGTTCCACAAATCTTTCCCCTTCCTCTTCTTCTTCTGATTCTCCCTTCGCCATGTTCAAGAGGGCAATCGCTGTGATCAACCTCAACAAGTCCTCACTGGTCTTTGCAGACTTCATTTTTTCTCCTTTGGATTCTTTCTCTTTCTCTTTCTCTTCATCTTCCATCTTCTGTGTTGGTGGGCTGCACATCATCAAGAGCCCCTTGAGGTGGTCCAATCTCGCCAAGGACATTGGTTTCGTGCCGATGTCTGCAGTCATATCTTCGCCAGGCAGGTGTTGAATGGCCCAAAGGCCTGACAAAACTGATTGACGGGCAAAAGACGCCCTGGTCCTCAAATGCCTGGTGCGCCAACTGCCTCCATCAGTTGAGACAATGGCCAGAGCAGACTGTGAATCAGTGAAAGCTCCTCTTTGAACTGGTCCTACCAATTCGTCCACCACCGCAGCAACCGACTCGCCTGCACCCATGGCTTCAACCAACTCCGCCAACTCCGCTTCAGCGGTAGAGAGTGTCACCAGGTGTTGTCTCCCAGCACGCCAGAAGATTGGTGACCTGTTGAGTGTGATGACGAAGGATCCAATTGATTCCTCATCTCCAGGGGCATAGCTGGCGTCAGAAAAAACCTGAATTTTGATTGGTTCTTGGCCATCATCGTGGTAGGCCAAACCTTCAGTGCAAGTCCTCAGGAGATATCCTCGAACTTGGTCTGCTGCTTCTAACACTGACATGGTGGCCTTGGTGACATTCGATCCCAAGCGGGACAGACTGTACATCAAATCTGGTCTCGTTCTCGTCAGGACCCAAAGTAGTTCTCCAACTGCTTTCTGACATTTTCGCACCGATTCGAGGGTTGGAGTCTGAGGGTCTGGGCTCATTGAAGCTTGATCCTTTGTGATGGGAATCCTTTTGGAAGAGACTTCTGTTTCCTGACGTTTGACCATGTCTTTGATGTACGACTCTTGAGTCACATGCCATGTGCAACGACCATCGATGCCTGTGGAAGTGGAGATTTCCATCCCCAGGAATCTGATGGGGACCTCCCCCACGGTCTCTGGACAGGACGTGGTCCAAGTTTCCTGGAACTTTCGCGCCACAGCTTCGGCAATCTTTGGGGGCGCTGCTATCAAGATGTCATCAACGTACGTCATCACCAGGCCGTACTTGATGTTCATCTCTCGATTTTCATCTTCGCTCCCAAGCTTCTCCAATCTCCAAAGATTCGGCTCTGAGTCAAGCTGTCTCAGCTGCAGCTTGATTGTTTCTCCTCCTTCTTCCACTTCTATCTCAAAACTTCTCATCTTTCCATCTCTGCACACTCCCCACAACCTTGGTGACCTTCTCAGTCCATACACCGCTTTTTTGGGACGATAGAGAGTGCCAACAGGAAGACACCCCTTCTTCACAAAGACGGTGGGTGGAGCAACCAGGATGTAGTTGGGCTGGTCTTCTTGATTGACATCCGCATTGAGGAAGGCAGTGCGGATATCGAGAGATATTCCAAGCCATCCAAAACGGGATGCCAGCCAGAGCAAGATTCGCAGAGCTGTGGCACCTGCGCCAGAGCTGTAGGTCTGTTCATCCTCTCTCTTCTCTTCATAATTCCCGCAGATGACCCATCGCACCTTGTGTTTGGCTCCCCCGGGGGCAGGCTTCTTTGAGTACACCACCTTG